AGGCCCGCGCTTGGTAAACACTCCGGATGAAATGTTACCACGTGTCAGGTTCGGTGTACGGCTGTACCAGGAGCCACGCAGCCCCCTCATTGGAAGTCCCTCTGGGTTCCTGCCAAACTCCGCTGCGATCTGGCACCCCAGCGGCACGCGCTCATCAGTCTTGACACATTCTCGGTAGCGGATAGGTGAACGGCGGATCGCGCAGTTGCTGCTGCGCTGTTGCTTTCGTTACCATTCGGCCGAGTCCCGGGACTCTCGCTGTGTTCCTTTTGTGCGGTTATTAAACTCGTATCGATTGATTTTTTCCCTCGCCGCACGTTGATAGCTCTTGCCCACTTCTCGGCTGTTCCCCGGAGATAGTGCACGCCGCTTGCAACGGGGCGGCTGACGGGGCCCTCCCCCCGCCTCTCGCCGTGCCACGATGGATCGTAACTCCCACGTTCATCGAAAAATACGACGTGGATCTCGGCTGCTGCCGTAGCCGGTCGGTTAGCCAGGCGGGCTGGCTGGCACACACGTGACGTGGCTCGCTCGCCCAGGCTGCTTAGAAATGTGTGGAGCTCTGAGCTGCGTGTTTGGATAACCCAGAAGATAACCGGAGGCAAAACTCATCACGGTTTGTCAATGTCAGCCTGTGGCTTAGTAGAGATGCATGCGGTGACACGTATTCCAGGGGGTGTCATTGTCGTCGGTAGACTCTTCACTTTGTGTTGTGTATTTCTTGCAAACACAGTGCTGTTATGATCTGTGGTTGCTTTGCTTAAAAACAAATTCTGTTCAATTGTGCTGTTGGCATCATGGCTTGGGATGAAGAAGCAGTTTGGCTATCTCACAGCAGTGGGCCTATAAGTTAGAGAATGGCTACAGAAGAGATTGTTATCCTCCAAATTTCATGCAAAACCAGATTTTAATGTTCTGGCAGTTGTTTTGTGGAAGTAATTGGTGACTTAATTGAGACCATCAACTCATGGCCCGGATGTGAACCCAGGTCTTGGAGGTACCGGCTCCACGCTCTTGAGTGCTGAGCCACCTAGCCACCGCGTGATCTGTAGACACTTTAAAACGATAAAGGTATGGTTTAGCTTGCAATAAATGATAGGAAAACTACCACAATACAGTATTATTTTCCTTTTTCTATCTAAGGTTCCTACAAAAACCAGACCACGGCATTAGTTGAATGTCAAAAATGTGGATTTGGCTGCGAGTATGCGATAGCAGATTATGTATCGTATTTATGTAATGGCTATGCATCATCTCGCAGTGTGGTCCCACTGACCGCTCTCTCACATTCATGGGTTTCACAATGAGGGCCCTCTTCTTTGCCTGGACATGAGATCATGGACGGGTGGAGGTGAGGGGCTCCAGAGGCGACTCGTCACCTTGCCTCCTGACCTGCCGGGGGCTGGGGCCTGTGACAGGTAAATCCTGTTCGGATTATCTCTGGCTCCAGTTCTGTGGTGTAATCCAGCACAAGAGACAGCTGTCCGTCCGACTTTCACTCATTTGGCCGTTTGTGTGTGCACTCGTGGGGTTTTCTCCCCCCCCCCCGTCGTCCAGAGAATCCCCCATAGGTGCACTTGAGAGAGATGGCTCTCTCGTGTCTTGTCCATGCGGTCAGCGGCTTCAAGTGAATTCTCGAGGGCTTCTCCATTTCTCTTTCTTTAATTTATTTTTTTAAAAGCCACCCTCCCTCATCCCGCGACCACGCTAACCATTTGTTATTGTCACGTCCAGAGGTGTTCCCCCGATGCTTTCCAGTAAGCACGAAACGCACGAGCGAGGCTGCGTCATTACCCTTGCCGTTCACGACGGCAGCGATAGCGTTGAAGCGAGCGTGGGGCCGAGCGAGGTGGCTGCGTGTCGTCTTGTCGGCCGCCGTAGCAGGGATGTGGCGAGGTGTACGGCGGCTGCGGCGTGACCCGTGCCTTGCTTGCGCTGTCCGCTGGTGGTTCGCTTGTGTTACCCGGCCACCTTATCCGTCTTGCTGCTAGCCGGCTGCGTGTGCTGGGGTGTGCTTAAGAAGTCAAAGTGTCTTCGCTCAATCGAGTCTCGCATCAGTGCTCATCTCCATTTAAGGCTCAGTGGCCGGTTGCATGAAATACCTTTCGTGGTCCCCCCCCCCGTCTTAACTTAAACTGATTTAAATGGCTAATAAGTAAAATTATGCTTTCGGAATTTATGAAGCTGGCTTGTATGCATGTACGTGCACATTTAGAACTTGTTTTACACCACACGTAGCCAACTGTGCTAATCGAAGGTGAGGCTTGCCAAACCTTTTGTGAAAATTCCACATTCTTCTGGCAGGGCACAGTTTTTTCTATATAATAGACAATGTAGACTTCTTTCAAAGTGTTACTCAATTTATTGACCCTGAAAGGATAATAGGCTGAGTTAACCCTGCAGATGATTGAATTAAAAAAATCGTACCACAGAGTTATTTGCCCTATGGATTAAGAGTAACTTCAGACGTTGTGACAACAATTCTACGCTAATTCTCGCTCTTATTCCCACGTTCTAATGTCATTTACGTGGAGAATTTAATTACAGTTTTGTTTGGCGCCCACAGTGCCAAAGAGTGCAGTGCAAGAACACAAGACACTGCAATGCCAAAAGACACAATGCCCTATAAGGTCATTCAATTGCTGGCTCAAAGGCATTAGGGACCAGCTTGCCTGTTTGTGAGGTCCCACGGTTGTGAAGGGGAGCCGGCGGAGCAGGGTGCAGGGAGGGCGATGTGTGAAATCCGCCCTGGGGATTCTGTAGAAGGTTGTGTTGCAGTTGTTGGGGATTAGTGGAGGGGGGACGTGCCTACACGATGCAGGGTCACTCGTGTTTGGGGCATCAGGAGTGCGGTGGACAACACGGGGAGGGGGGGGGGGGCGCTAGGTGGGGAACGGAACTGAGGTGTGGATGTGCAGGGGCCGGAAGGGAATGAAGGGGATGCGGGTGGGATGTGGCACGCTGAGCGACATGGGCAGTATGTTGTGAAAACTTGTGAACTGGAGATGACAATGTTGGGAGGCTACGGGGCAAAGAGCGTTGGAGAGAGGAAGCTGTGAGCGTGGCACAGAGACAAGGTGTGAGCGCGTGTGTGGGTAGGAACTGGAATGGGCGTATGTGGTGGTGGGGGGCGGGACGCGGGGGGGGGGGGGGCGCAGCGGGGAGGAGCAGTGGTGGGGGGGGAGCAGTGGTGGGGGGGGGAGGAGTGGTGGGGGGGGGAGCAGTACATTTGAATTGCGGCTGTTTTGGTTTGGACTGTGACACCGTTTAATCTTGAGCGCTGAAGCCGAACACCTGTGTGTGACCTTGAGGTCCCTGATCCCAGGGCTGATCCCCACCCAGCGAGCGCTTCATGCCTGGATTACGTCCCCTTCCGTGGCGAACCTCTCGCAGCGCTGAGCCACAGAGGTGCGTCGTGATCCCAACGCGGCTCTCGCTCTTCGTTCACGCTTCCTCTGTTTTATCCCCTTCTCGTTAAAGCTTTCCAACGAAGGTTGAAATGCGTTGGCGCTGCCCGTCTCTGTAACTCTCACAAGGGTAATTACATAGAAACTGAATGTTTGTGTCGAGTTGTGCAAGAGACAACTTGCCAAATTGATCAAAGCGATGCTAAAATCTTTGGCGATAAGCGATAATAGATAAGGCTTTACCCATGAAGGTGATGATGTCACACGCTTCCCGACGATGTCACGTGTTTTATGCCTTTTGACGTCATCTTGTTGCGTGACTTGGAAGGTAATGTTATTGTCACTAATACAATACATGTAGGGACAAACGCACGTGGGAAGGCATTGCAAAGCCTACTGGTAATGCAGGATCTATCTTCCTCGTCTGGTACGCCTTTGAATGCTTTTGGGATTGTCTGATTATCATTGGTGATTTTTATTCTGCAACTGTTTTTTTTTATCTCGTAAGCGTTAACTTTGTTTTGCCTTTTTCACATGTCGCATGTATTCATACCACTTGAACATCAAAAGTGCAGTTAATTGGTGTGATCAGGTGTTGCTTTATAACATAACATTTTTATGTTCTAAATCTTACACTTGAATCACATTTCTACATTAATTGAATGTTTACGTTACTGCACGTTACTTCGTGTTGAAGATTGCAACTGTTTGAATCTGACCAAAGGAAAATCACGATATATCAATGGAGCATATAAGGTAGTCACTGATACTGAGTAATCTGTTGAAGACTAAAACAAATTCAAAGCTGCAGAACAAATTGTTTATATTACAATGGATAAACCAATGTATGTATGCATGTTGAACTTCTTTCGCACCGTACATAGCCAACCGTGCTAATCGGAGGTGCGGGGGAAGGACAACAAACTAAACACAAAAATCAGTTGTAAAGAAATGAGTTTTCAATCTAGATGATTTAAAGTTGCATAGCTCCATTGGCTTCCAAATATCAGAAGGAAGAGCATTCCAGGCGACCGCAGAACCGCATCTGAAAGTGCAGCGATCCAGTGACCGTATTTGTTCAATGCAGTACATATGTCAGATGTCATGCTGCTTAGAAACGTACCTTGTCTCATGTGCTCATGAATGCATTTGCCAAGAGAGTGAGAGACCGGCTCGCAGAGCCAGAGGTGACTTGGCAGTCTCGACCAGGGGGTGGAGTGCAATCAACGCAGTGGCCATAGTGGAAAGCTGCGCATGCAATGAATCAATCGCCCCACAGCGATTCTGTAAATTGTCACGTGAATTGCCTAGTCTTGGTTGTCCTACTTGTACCATCTCGTGTTGAATGTTGAGGCTGCGCGTACTGTGATTGTGTGTTCAGGTTGTACATATTGAGGCTTTGTATGTTGAGGCACTGTGTCGAGCCTGTAGGCTGTGACGCGGTGCGACTGCACGTGTCGTGGCTGTGCGGCTGTATTTGTTGAGATCATGTTGAGGCCTTGTGCGTTAAGGCTGTATTGAGGCTGCCTGTGTTGAGGCCTTCTGTGCTGAGGCTGCCTGCCTGTGTTGGTTCTGGCGCGGTGCGGCGAGCAGGACAGCTGTCCGAGGCGAGGGCCCTGCGGAAACGGCAGCAGCTGGAGAACCTCGTGGGCTGCGTTCGCTCCCTGGCCCAGCCGTCGCACGTCATCGTCGACTTCTGCAGCGGAGGGGTGAGCCGGGAGCCCGGAGGAGGCCACTGAATGGAATTATGTTATTCAGTGTTAGTTACATTGATTACTAATAAATAATGATTACTTATTATAACAACAACATATAACTTCGCTCTCTGATGTGTTTTCGGGCAGTGCCGTGAATTGTTCAGTATGACGTCTGATGTTTCATTCATCGTGTTGGAAGCTTCTTCAGGAACTGAACCAAATTCTATTCCTGAGGAAGCTCCACAGCAGGTGGAGCGACTGGAGGTGCACACGTAACATCAACAAATCAGACACTACTTATTTGAAAAAGTTCCAAGTTACCATACTCAAATAAAGAATGACATAGTACTCATCTCCATTGCCGAGCCAGTGATGGAAATTTCATATTCCAATGGCAGGGGCTAGTTAATGTTTGGGACAATCACTCTTGGCCTCCCACAAAATGCGACTAATTTTATTAACCCTGTAGGCAAGATGCTCTGATTCATCCCGCCATTGGGATCTGCATGCCACATGCAGCCACCTGCAGCCCAACAAATGAGGCGTAAAATTAAAGCAGTTTTTAGAGCCTGGTTGTTAAATGATTACCATCAGCATCGTCGCGCATAGTTTAAATCGCAATTGAGACATTGCCCATTTCGTCACAGCTGAACCATACCCAGTAGACTCTCGATAATTATCTGTGCTAATGATGGGGAGGATGGCCGCGGATAATTCAAAATTGTGGATAAGTGAACACTTTCCTGCTCCCGCGCAGAAGACTCGGCCCACTAAGTGGACAGCAGAGCCACGTCAATGAACATTAATCAAACTCTACCCACTGTTACCAAGATATACAACACATGGATTTCGGCTTAGCCGGAGCACATACCTGTATTTGTTCGGTTTCAGCATGTTACTTGTGTGGTGGGATCACTTGAGAGACATACACATTCAGGAGGCAACACGTTTATTCTACGACTACAACAGGGTAACTATATAACCAGTAACTACAACGGGATAACTACATAACCGGTAACCACCACGGGGTAACTATATAAACGGGTCAGGTCAGTCGGCACACTGCCTGACCCACGATGCCGAGCACGAAGACCAGAGACGGAGGAGAAGACGCAGCACTGCGGTTCTATTCCAGCAGACAGCCCCGATGGGACCCCGGGACCTCCCTTTTATGCCCCCCAGCGTGGCCTGGCTCCGCCCTCGGCCACGCCTCCTTCTGGAACTTCCCAGAATATTTTGGGCCATACACCACGTGTCCCTTCTATCACCTTTGGCCCACATCCTTACCCTGTCCTTTCACGTGTCCTTGACAGCCAACCGGGCTGCTACGTCCTCAGATGCCCCCTCTCTGCCAGTCACCAGAACCATGCTCCCCTAGGGACCTCTTCCATGACATCGTGTACTCTGCTGGCAGAGAGGGCTACTACACACGCAATTCCTCTCTTTGTCGGTAGATGGCGCAAGGTGCCATTAGTGACCCATTATATGTCACTACATTTGTAATAAACATTTCCAAGGATAACAATGTATAACTATTTTTAGATGATTAATTTAGGCTAAAGGGTAAATCCACGAGTTATTAAGCTACATCAACATCTCAGGTGCGCCGTTCATCCGCAAATTGGATAAACCGCGCGGAGAGTGGACTGCATTGTGAGATTAACTGAATGCACCTTTTTCGTACCTGGACAAGACATTCATAAGAACCTCTTCAAGCCTCTCCCCTAATCCGGGCTCAGTGTCGTCGCGCATTTTCTTGTTTTACCGCCACTGTGCGTGGCATCACAGGGCCACCTTGGGATCGTGCTGGCCTACCTGCTGCCCCAGTGCCAAGTAAGCCACGTCGTTGCGCGTATGGTGTTTCACTCAAGTTTTTTTTTCCTGTTTACTATGATCATGTGCTTAGTCCTCTTGCCTCTGTTTTACAAAACACTCCTTAAAACGGAATTAGCCAAAAACATTCCGATGTCGGATCCGCATGAAAAAAAAAGAGTTATTGAGACTTGGTGAGGCTTTCCGAGATAAATGACATGATTATTGTTATTACAAAGCAAGAGACTTTTGAGACAGTAGGTTTGCTTTGCAATTGAAACTTGGAGTAAACTTAAACGATTCAAAAGAGAAATGTCAACAATTTGCACAAACTGTGAAAAACAAGAACAAAGCTTGCAAAAATAAACATTACAGAAGCAAACATATTACTCAAACTGAATATTAACTTTAAACCAAAATATTAAATTTAACTTACAACAAAGTCTCACTGTTAGAAAAAATGTATATACTGTCTATACTTGTTTAAACGCACTTTTAAATCTAGATTGAAAACTCATTTGTTTAAAACAGCTTTGTGTTTAGTTTGTTGTCCTTCCCTCGCACCTCTGAGTAGTTGGCTGCGTAAGGTGAGAAAGAAGTTCAGCATACATACACCGCACCTCCGATTAGCACGCTTGGCTACATACGGTGCGAAAGAAGTCCAACATGCTCACGTACGTACAGGTTGTGCTGGTGGAGAATAAGGAGCAGTCACTGGAGAGGGCCCAGTCTCGCTGCCGGGGCCTGGGCCTCAGCAACGTGTCGCTCTACCAGTGCAATCTCGACTACTACCAGGGGGCCTTTGACATCGGGGTGAGCCTCACACAAGAGACAAAACTGGTCTACATCCATTCGTTTTTTTGCAAGTTTAACGGTGTGTACAAGTGTGACATCGGTCTAAAAATGTAGAGGTGCAGTAATTTCTCACGCCACTGCTGGCAGAAGGGCCTCCACTTGGGAGATTTCGAGAGAATCCCTCTCGAGGGTATTTGGCCTTCTCTTCCACGGTAGCCAGATATCTTGGAAGAGGTGAGTGTAACCACGTTTTGCCAGTCGACAAACTGTGGTGTCGACATCCATGCTGCTGGGTGGGAGGATTTAAGAAAGAATATCCAAGACCACTGGCTCCCCGTGATCCCCTTTCCCTCGCCCCAAAAACTTAACGAAGGCCACTCTACAGAACGGTCACATGTGCACACCTCTAGTGAGCGCCGTGTTAGAAAGGTGCCTGTGTCACGATGAGTGTTCGTGTTTTATCGGCACAACGTGGCGATTACATTCCCACCGCACACGTAAAAATCTATCCTGCGCTGTATCCATGCCATAGCCCATTCCCCCACCCCCCCTTAAAGAAATCAAACCACTGGTCTTGAGGCTCAGTGTTGCTTTCCTTGATATGAACCTTATGGCGGGACCCCGGGGCCCCGAATAAACGGAAGTCAAAATCGCAATTAACTCATTTATTGTTGGCGACTCCGTCCCACCGCGAACACAAACGCCGCGACTCGCCTGGTGCGGATCGCTCTGTTCTCGTGTCCAAGCGCAGCGGCGGGGACGAATGCGCACAAGAGCTGAACAAGCGAATGCACTCCATGCTCGGGTGTGGGCAGGATCATAACAAGTCTTATCCAAAGCTGCTCAAACTGACTACACGACTCAAGTCCTTTATTTGTCATCACGGTATGCATAATACAGTGAAACTGCTCTCTTATCGTCATCATTATTATTTGTGACCTACCAATGTCTGCAGCCAGGATCAATCGATGACAATCCTATTACCTGCAGATATTTAACAGATGAGATGCATTGCACCGTTAATCATATCAAACAGGAGTATTATAATACTTCTCTTGTCCGTATGCATCTGTGCAGATAGGTTTTTTTTGCGGTTAAGCCATAGTCCCCACATACCGCTCGTATCAATGCGGATAAGAGGAGCGGCGACGCACTACTCTGTAGAGTAACATTGGTATAAACGTTTGTTACAATATGAACAGCGCATTGAAAACGCGTACTATTTTATGCACTGTTTACAAAGTGTGTTCACAAATCCACACTGAGAAACACGATGATTGACAGAGGGGTTTAAATAATTTTTTGACAGTGTATTTAAATAGAGGTACTACAGGTAAGTAGTTTGCAGTTTTAAAGGCATAGATTAACAAGACAACACTTGCCACCATCCTTCAAACCCATTGGTGAAAAAGAGCAAAGTTTTTGTTACATTATATATAATGTTTACATTAATGTAAACATTATTTTTGTTACATTATATATAATGTTTACATTAATGTAAACATTATATATAATGTAACAAAAACTTTGCTCTTTTTCACCAATGGGTTTGAAGGATGGTGGCAAGTGTTGTCTTGTTAATCTATGCCTTTAAAACTGCAAACTACTTACCTGTAGTACCTCTATTTAAATACACTGTCAAAAAATTATTTAAACCCCTCTGTCAATCATCGTGTTTCTCAGTGTGGATTTGTGAACACACTTTGTAAACAGTGCATAAAATAGTACGCGTTTTCAATGCGCTGTTCATATTGTAACAAACGTTTATACCAATGTAACAAAAACTTTGCTCTTTTTCCACACTGAGAAACACGATGATTGATGTTTACATTATATATAATGTTTACATTATATATAATGTTTACATTATATATAATGTTTATAATATTTACGCGAGAGCCGGGGGCTTATGGGACCCTGGGGTCCCACCACAAGGTTCATATGTAAACTGTGATTAATTATTATTGTTCACTTTTGGGAACTGCTGCATTGCCACGATCAAATGAATTTGTCGCACGGCCGCATCACCGCTCCGTCCCTGCTGCACGGTGCGCGTGCCGCGGCAGGTCGCGCTGCACGCGTGCGGGGTGGCCACGGACATGGTGCTGGAGCGGTGCGTGCGGGCGCGCGCTGCCTTCGTCGTCAGCCCCTGCTGCTACGGCTTCATCCAGAACACGGACAAGGTGTCCTTCCCCAAGAGGCGAGCGACGCCCGCGTGCGAGCGGCGGTGCCTGTGCGTGCGCTCCCGTGCGCACGCCGGGGAGCACAGGAGGTGCATCCGCCGGTCATCTCGGTCGGTTAACTCGGAACACCTGGGTCTGTCTGTCCCATGACCTCCTGCCACAAAGCCTTCCATACTTCACGTGGAGTTGCCTCAAAGTGCACCTAGCCTGGCGCAGGCACTGTGGCGACGTCGCCGTGACTTAGTGGCGAATGGTGGCTGTTGTGCTGGGCCTGGCAGGCTGGAGCCTACGGTGGGGCTCGGTTTGATTCCCGGCCACGGCTAACATCAGTGTCAATTGTCTTAGCCAGGCTGAAGCCTCCCCTACGTGGACTCAGCCTATTATAATTGGAATGTGTAATATACATTTATTTATAGGTTATTTTGCAGGTTAGGCTGCTTTGTACTTTTCTCAATGTGTTTATAGCACACGAATGATAAGATTAAGTTTGCATACTGAGGGTGATATATAGTTACTTAGATTATCCCAATAAATTACGACACCAACCTCAAAATTATTATTTCTTCAGTCAAATGTACAGTTGTGTTGACAAACCACGTGCCTCGTCTCTCTTCAGTGTAATCTGTGTTAACCTCCACGCCATGAGCTAAATGTTCCCGAGTGTGAATTACATCACCACATGTGGCTGAAGTCTGATTTTTCCTTTGTGCTGTGATTTATGACCCTTTCAGCCAGATGTTTCAGGAGGTGTTATCCTATCGGGTAAGTGTGACTTTACACGACTAGGTAGGACTGCATTCCCATGCAAGGAATTCCCACTTTCTACAACGTCTTCACTGTGTACCTCTCATCGCGTAACGCAACACCGTTACATTTGCTGGGAAGCATGTAAACTGCACGTCCTGAGTTATTTACAAACCTTTAACAACGTGTAGTTGAAATGATATATGATTTTCATCCCTTTGTTGGTCTGCCACTGGATGTAGACCTCTCCCTCTCTGCGCCGTATTTTTGACGGGGGTTGTGAGGGTTGTTAAATTATACTTGACCAAGCTGGTCAGTGCGGGATGCCCAGGTCGGTGGGCCCAGGCCCGGTTCAAATATCGATCATCACTGATGTTAGCCGACGCTGGGAATTCAACTCAGGTCACTGGATTTCCTCGTGCACTGAATGAACCACGATTGCCACCACTCTCCCGTACCCAGAGCTTTCGTGGGTTCTGTTTTAAGGGTCATATATCTTGGTTATAAAACAAAACAGTGTTTATATATTTAAAAAAAAAACATTTCGTAAAGACTTTAAAAAAAATACACGCACAATGCTGCTTTAGTTTTGTAGGATGGGGTCAGAGTTTAGACAAAAATGTTGAGCAGCCCACCCAGAAGGACCTAGAGCACCAAGAGTGATTTTATGCATTTGGCTGCATATTCCATCGTATTGTCATTATTTTATTCTGGCTGTAAAGCTAATGCACCTATTTACGAGCAATATGCTCTGGACCATGTATCCCTGCCTGCATACAATAGCCGGCATTGTGGGCGAGGTTTGAACCACCAGAGTGCAGTTTGTGTTTATTAAGAGACGGTGAACAACATTAAGGGTCATCTGGCTGCATTGCAAACTTTAAAAAAATCCATCAGTGTATTCTTAACGGTAATCTATGTGAATCTTGGGCACATGCGTGCTATAGATTTACACATCTCAAACCAGACAGGAATTGGATTGGTCTCCATGAGCATGGCGACCAAGGGAAAGATCTGAGAGACGCTAGTGGGACACTGTCAGGCCAGATCTTGGAGGCCGCTTGGGGCACCACGGTGGCTAGGAGATGTTGACTACCTCGCCTGGTATACAGCAGGTCGTGAGCTCGATCCCGACCCTGACACCTGCTGTATATTTTGAGTTTGCATGTTCTCCGCGTGCTCGTGTGGATTTTTCTCCAGGTTATCTGGGTTTTCCCTCCACATTTAGAATCAACGTGCGTTTAGAGTATTTGGTTGCTACACATTTCCATGTGATTTGCGGCCAGGTCGTTTCTGAAAAAGAGCCATGTAGCTCAGTTGGTAGCAAGCATTGGCGGGGTTTTGTAGCACCGCTGCCTTTGGCCCTGATGGCATCTTGGTCTTGAAACCAGGTGTAGACTGGCAGCACAGGCCAGTCTACACCTGGACACCGCATTGCTAATTTTAGTTACCCTACGTTTTTGGAAACGTCAAACACTGATGAATAATATTTCAGCGGATCGTCATCTCAAGTGAGTGACACATTAGTTAACATGTGAGTTGTATCGGTGCATATGCAGTGTCCATACGGCCTTCAGAAATCACTGAATTTCAACACGATCTTGTAAAGAATAATTCATATTTGACTTTAGATGTTATCATTTACCACTAATTTAATTAGTCTTGTTTTTTTATCCTCAGACAGCCTAAAGAAAACAATTTAAACATGTGAATATATATTTTGCACCACTTCATTTTATTTACTGTAGATGTGTACAACATACAGTAGTCAGACATGACATGTTCGTGACATAGTTAAGATTTTTTACAAATATAGCAGTTGAGGCAGTAACATGGCCTATCAGCAATGCGTTGGTTGCTTGTTGCAGAGATTCAAGGTTCGGTTCCAGTGGCCGCCCTGGTTATTGTGGGTGTCTTAACAGTGGACCTTAAAGGACCCTGTGACGTCTTTCGCAAGAGTTGGCCATTTTGTGTGGGGTGTCTTTGTCAAAATTGACCAAATCAGAAATTTACCCGCGAATGAATCAGTTGGAATTGTACAAAGCGGATATTGCCCTCTACTTGCAGACCACAGAACTTGGGCAATTGTTGGTGCCATTTGTGGATTGCCTTCCCACTCGTCTGTGGGTTCCTACCGCTTTCCTTTTGAAAACCGTATGCGTTACAAATCTTACGGCGTTGGATGAATGACGTCGCTATGCAAAATAACGCATTGCATTACTCGCATACATCCTTACGATTACGTTGATAATTTGTGCAACAAAACAGAACAGTGGTCAAGTTCAGACGGGCGAATCGTTCCGCCCCTGCTATACAGAAGAATAAGCAACCCGCGTATTTCCAGAAGCTAGCCGGCTGCACCTGATTGCGGCGACGGCCGGTTTCTTCGTCACGGCGGTGCCTCCATGTCTGCTTGTTTATGTTTGTGCTCTCCGCGACTGCCGTTGTGTGTCTGTGCGTGCCCGCGATGTTTTCCCGTGCGCGCAGGAGCACATGGTTTTGTGCAGGTTCGCCGACCAGACCGCGCAACACCTCTCCGCTGACAGACGCAGCACAGGTGAGGAGGACGGGGTGGGGGACGGGGGGGGTGTGCCGTGTAGGACCCCATCAGAAACGGAATGGCGGCCAGCTTGGGGTTGTTGATCACGAGGCCCCTCACGAGCACCTTGGGATTTAGCACGTCCCCTCGACGCAAGGCACGCTGCCGCACGGACTGACAGCCGCATCTCTCTCTCTCTCTCGTCAGCATTTTGAACATTTTGCCGTTACCAGTTTTGTGCGCCGCCCGCTTTGCTGTGAACAGTGTCACCCTCAGGCGCCACTTCTCACATTCCTGTAATCGTACCCCCACTTGCTGCCTTCCCATGCTCAGTGTCCCCATGCTTACCAATGTTTACAATCACGTGGATAATATCTGCGTATCGGTGTTTTGCGCGCGTGTGTTCGTTTTTACAACGGCTAATCTGAATCATTGGTGATGCTGTGTATGGGATGGTAGTCGTAAAAAAACGTTATCATCATTGTCTCTGCACTAGCTAATCTCATGTGGACTTGAATTAACAAATCCCCAAAGCTCAGTACAGATTAAGTCCCAACGAGCACACCGATATAGACAACATACCACTGTCAAAATTGCACACTCTTTTAGAAATGTCAACCATCATGTCAGCACACTGTAGCTTACCCTCACAATGAAAATTCAATACGAGGTCAACTGTCCTCTCTGTTAACAATCCTACTTGGCCTTGAGCCCAGCTACCCCTCTCTTCTTGCTCTCTTGCCCCACTTGTACCTTGCACTGGAGCAGCAGCAGCAGCAGCAGCCAAGGCCTCCTGGTGAAACCTCTCTGTGACCCACTGCTCAGGAGGCGATTGCTCTTCCTCAGCTGCCCATCGTGTTTTTATCTCCCACCTCTGACTCCATTCCCCCCCCCCCTTTTTTTTGTTAGTCTGAGCTCAAATTTTCATCTTTATCCTGTAGAAATTTGAGTACGACGTTTCGCCGGTAATTACAACCAGCTTCATCAGGCGATTTTGCCAGAAATTTTACGTGGCAAAAATCTGCCTGATGAAGCTGGTTGTGATTACCAGCGAAACGTCGCACTCAAATTATAAATGTTGTGGGTTTACTCTCCAACACTGGTGTAAAGAAGTAATAACTAATTGGCACTTTTTTTTCGTGACAAACTTTACTAATTGGCTGTGTCAGGTGGTGGGTTCACAACACATTTATATTCACGTGATCTAACCCAAAAAAACTTCATTATAAATAGTTTTGGTCGCGAAAGCTACGTGATAAAGCATCCTTTGGCGTCCTACCTCTGACTCGGCATGAAATTATGCATTGGTTCTAATCGGTTCTCACGTTCGTAGGCTCACAAAGAATCAACTCTTGATTTGAGTCGTGGGACCAAATCGTGACAATTTATGCAACCGCTGACTGAGTAATCGTTGGATGCCTATTTGGTGACATTGCCTTAGAAGTGGTGCACTCCCCATACCACGTCTTCCCTTTCTTGCCAACTCTCTATACCGGATCTTTGTATGTGCTTAAACATGGATGGATAAATAAACGCTTTCTTTGGTATTTACATCAAAATATGATTTTTTTTTTAAACCGGAATATATTTTGCAGGAAAGGCGTGCATGACGTTGGTCGACCAAGACAGGGCCGCAGCAGCCGCAGAGAGCGGATTCCACGCCCACGTCCACTCCATGAATCCTGAGACGTGCTCTCCCAAAAACAGCATCCTCGTTGGGGTCCTGGACGCACGCTTCCTGGCGGACACGACTACCTCCCCCCCGCTGCTCCTCTCCCACAGTGTTCGCTGCACAAGCTCAGAGTTAGGCCCCCCCTGAGCATTCACGTGGGGCGGGCAGGGGGAGAGACGCAGGACGGGTGGAAGAGTTGGGGCCAGGCTCGACGTGTAAACAGAGCTGAGCTCTTATTGTGTACAGTTGTGGAATTTAAGCTGACAAAAAATGCACACGTACGGGTTTTTAATTGGAACCGTGCGTGTGATGCGGCGCGAGTTGGTCACGGCCTCCAGGGACTTTATTTTTGAGTCTGAATTCCAAGAAGTGTTTCCAGATTTTACCGTGATTTATTGAACAGTTATTTTTTAAGCTCTATTAGTTTGTTTGGATAGAAACATATCTTGTTTATATTACTTATGTTTGTAGTTGTCACTTATTTCACTGTCATTTAAACTAACTTTTAAGTAAATGCCGCGATGAATATACATGCATTCAAGCAAAATATTGAGTTGGTTTCATTTATTTTACACTGGCTTCAACGGGACATGTTTTGCAGCACCTGTTGAGCTGATAACAAACGAACTTGATGTGGGACTTTATGTCTGCCAATCTGCTCTTATCAGGGTTGATTTTGGCCAAACAGTAGGAAGACAACAGCATATATTGTTACATCCACAGTCACCTCTTCATTATCCTTTTATTATAGATGATAGGCAATTGTAATTGTCCAAATGATAATATGAGCATGAAACTTGGCATGTGTGTTTCACTGGGTCATTTTTCAAGAAACATACATAGCCTCTTGAAATTCCAAAAAGGCCGCTAATGTTCGATATACTGTAATATCCTGTTTTGACTCGGCATCGATTGGATTCTCCCAACTCATACGGACAACGTGTTGCACGCATCACATTGCATATCAGGCAGGTGACGTGGAGGCAGAGAGCTATCAGCCAGACACCCAAAGTCCTGTTGACGTGGGGTGGACCAAACTATTGAATCATGCCTAGGCCACTATTCCATCTATTGCGACAAATTTCCAACAAGTGATCAAATGCGTCTGCAAGATAGAATGTTGTCGACGCTGAAAATGCCACCACTGCAGTCGCAGTTGCAGAGCGGCATGCAGTTGTGAGTGCCAGGGCTGTTTATTAAATCTCACGAACCTCATCTGATGTACAGACGCCAGTTGTGTTGGATAAGAAAATAATATTCGGTGGTGGATTTAATGTAACTGGTGAATGCATCTTATAACGAAGTCTGTCTGGCTGATGCTGGGCTGGAAAGAATTGGTGGCAAAACATCCTGCTGAGACGTGAAAGGTACATTTGAGGAATTTATATTGGTGGAATTAGTTTAAAAAAAATACAAAGATCCCCCGTATAGCCTGTAACCGACTGTTGGGGCAAGTGATGTTCGCGAGCACCTATGAAGGCCGGCAAAGCACACGAGGGGGCGGGTGGCCAACACCACGCCCGGCCGCCTTTGTCTCCATAATGGCGATGTTTACACATCGCACCAGGTACTCATTTGAGGCTGAGTCGACCTAGGGAAGGCCCAGGACCGGCTCAGATAATCGTCACTGGTGTTCTAGCATGGCCACAGACACACACACAGATACAAAGGTTTCTCAAATTGAACAATTGTCAATTTCAGGCAGCTTACGGTTTGTTGACTGGCCCAATGAACACGTACGACATGTTCACGCTCGTCTCATTTGAAGCGAGTAGTAATCCCCCGTTACCCACTCCGCTTCTTACCATTCAGACATGCGTTGGGTTTGGTGCGGTTAAGAAGACATGTCTGGCAACGCCAATGAAGGTGTACATTGTTAATGTAGTGCGGCGATGGCTTCTGTGATGCTAAACTAGACAGGGTGGGATCGAGAAGCATTTGTGGGGGGGTGGGGGTGTTTGTTAAATACACTTGAGCAGAGGAAATGTTGACTCGGGTCACCCTCATGTCCCCTTGTCCCTGCGTCCACTTACACCACCACTTCTTCCCATCACCAGGCGCTCGCATCTCGTCTCATCTCCCCCTCCTTCATCTCCTTTTAGCGGCAGCATAGCTTAGACTCCATAAGTAAACAGATGCTGGAGCAATTATTCCTTCGCTGCCGTAAATCCTTCACACGGTGATGGGTGGCGGGTGGGGGGCTGCTGTCCAGAACCTGGCTGGCTTTTGTGTCACAATAGAATAATTTTTGGAACCATTGTTGGTACCTGTTGCCTTGGAAGGGAAACTGAGAGAAGCTTCGCTACGGCGTTGTTGAAGGACAGGCGGCCTGCATTTGCGTTTGTTTTGAAGTTTGTTGCACGTGCTGGTGTCGAGCAACCTGCAGGAAGTTTTGTTTTCCGTCGAGAGAAAGCAGCCAAGTTGAGCGAAGAGAGAGGCCTCTGGGCACTGGGCTCTGGCTTGAGCCTCTGGTTGTGCCACGGGTGAGTTCGTCGGTAAGCCGCGATCTCACGAAAGATTCGTCAACTCTCCCAGTGCTTGTGTTCAGTGCCGGATTATCATCGTACACATGCTGCTACGGGCCCCGCACTTTCAAGGGCCCCCCCGCTAAATCCTTTGAAGCTATCAATTCCGGTTCAGTGATTCTGCACTTGCTCTATTAATATAGTACTATACTGCCAAAAAATACTATACTACCTTCAACTTTTACGAACGACTGGTTGTTTAAGGTCAGCGATTTGTTATATTATATGGCTGTATAGAAAATATAAAAATACAACTACTTTAATATGCAAGTGAAAAATTGCGTTTTAATATTTGTGTGTTTTTTTTATTTAGGGCCCCTTTATAATATCATGCTACAGGCCCCGCACGAGCTTAATCCGGCACTGGCTGGGCTTATAAACATGGACCGGTGCCAACAAGGTGCACGGTCGTTCGCAGGCACAGCGCCACAAAGCGAACTCTTGAACAAATAGCTTTTAGTTCACTTGAACTGAACCTTGCTGTAACTTCGGCTTCATAATGGAGCCCTTGGCAAGCGTACACTTTCAGCAGCGTCGATACGAATCTGTCAAATATACTCTCACTGCTGCTCTCGGGAAAATAAGGCACGAGAAGTTGCTATCGGAGGACAATGGGAGAGTTGTGCGTGACTGTACTTTACTGGGCAGACAGGTGGGTTAATGGTGTGTGCTCTGTACGATGGGTTCATTCATTAATCATTGGCGAAGTTCAGAAGTGCTGCTGCTGGTCTTGCGACCGCTAGGGCTTGATGGCCGTGGCGGTGGTCTGGGCTGTGCTGGTCATGTGTAGGAAGCAAAGTTTCTGTGGCGTGCTGTCAGCTCGCTTCACGCATTCATAACATCTCGTGACCATTGTGTGCTGACATCAAGACAAAGTGGAGCCACTCTGCAACAAGTTTATGGCTGGGCGAGGGCCCTTTGTGATCTGCTGTTACGGGAAACAGGCGTGGGAGAACGCGTGCATGATGAAAGCGGCGTAGTTACTAATGTACTGACATTGTAGCAAACAAAATGGGACTATAATGCATTTTCCGTAATGCTATACTACGCTCCTTCAAATATGTGTATTAAGTCGAGAAGACAAAGTATAAACAAACGTATTGAGTATTAAAGTGCACATGCACCTTCAGAGATATATATGTCTATATGCACTTGATGTATTAATGAACCTGCATCTCCAGACTACTAATAGCGGGGTGGGTGTGTTAACATTTTCAATTGCTTACCTCATCTATTGTTTTGCTCAGAATGTTTTTTAACCGAGATAAGCCATAGCCTGACGTGTTGTTGTTTATTCACGGATTAAGATGAATGCCATTCACACCGAATTTCTTATAGCCAGACGAATGAATCAAGAGAAATGTTCATGCTGCAACTCGTATACAGAAAATGCGGACCCATTGATTTAGAAGCTCGCTACACCTGGTAACTGGGCAGTGCAGATGAAACATCTGAATATGAACATTTCAGTATGCAACGTTGCGGACCATCGAAAACAAGCAAAATGCAGGATTTTATTTCATTTGCACAGTACTTAATGTATTTTATTTAGACGTTTGAAAAAAACGTAATTGTAGCTTCGAATATAAATGTATAACAGCTGTGCACATGAGTATATACAAGTTCATAATACACTGCTGGATATATTGCGATATTTTGGCCAATATCAGCACACTTAAATATAAATGTGTTTCGCCCACAAAGACCTCTTTCATGCCAAGTTGTTCCAAAAAAGCAGGGCCAACTTGCACGTTTGGGGGCTCGTTCAAGAATAACATTCGCGACCGCAGTGATTTAAGAAAGGTATACACTATTTGGCACATCGGGCTTTAAGCAGTTTCTCATTTTGATAGATGTCCCTTGTGGGCAGGAGGCTCCACTGTTAAACGGTCCTAATCGGTTATGTTTGCATTGAACAAAAATACTTGAGAGATCCGCTAAAAGCCCTGATTGAATGCGCGTGCAAAAAAACATCCACGCGTACATTCCTAAATGATTCGCAATGAAGAATTCCTTTGGTACATCCTCGCACTTAAGAGGCTGAAAATGATCAAATAAATTATGGGAAACGGTAAACATTGCAAAATATATATCTTTAAAGAAATGGACGTTGCGATGATGTGTGTTTTAACGAAAGCACACAAACAGCGACCGATAAGCACCGAAATAAAAGCGGTCGCGTGTTCAAGCTTCGCTTGTTGGCGCCGCCCCAGTTCGACATTCGGTAATCCCCCGGCATTTCATAGAAATGACAGACGCATGCAAACATATAATTACCACCTTTAAAGCAGTGTATGCCGAGGGAGAATGGATGGGTCTGCGATTCACAAACCCCCCGGTGTCTTAATAGACAAAAGTGCCAGTCTGTTTCCCCCTGTCTTGTCTGTCACGCTGTTGAATGCTTTTGAATCTTTTGCTGGCTTAGTTACACCGAGTGACGGAGGCCAGATGTTGAGACCTGACTCGCTGGACATTATTTGCTTTTTGTATTCCCCCCCCCCCCCCCCTTTATTGGGCGCCGGTGTTCTGAGCTAAGAAGTTCACCGTGATGCGTGATTCCCAGTCTGGGGGGATGAGAAGCTGTACAGGGGGCTCCAGGTTTGAAGGCGTTAGCCAGTATCTGCTGTAGTCTTGATAGTGACTTATATCTACTTTACAAAAACAAGTATTGGTTGGTTGGTGGTGGTAACCAGGTTTTTAAGGATTCATCACCTGGCGATTTGATGAAATGTCAGAACTTGGGCTTGCGATTAAATTGAAAAATCAATTGTTTGTTGTATTTTTATTTTACAGTCTTGTGTGCAGTGTTTCCCAACTCCTTAAAGCAGCAAGTCGCGAAACGAACCTTGAAAAGTCACTTTACGTCACGAGGCAGACTTTTAAAATGTGTTAACTATGTCACGAGACATTTTTGTTTAAGTATTTCACGTCGTACATCTTATACAGAGCCCTCGATGCAGACACTGGGAATACTGTCACTAGACTCTATCCGGTGTCACTCACCGTAAACTGATACAAGTTTAATTATACACCGGGTATTGCTCTTAAATGTCCCAGAAATTCTCGGTTTGCCGTGAGTCGTTCTTGACGAAATTTTGTCGCTGGGGAAACCCAACAAAATGAGTAAAATCTTGCGACAAAATCACTACAATGGCAACACTGCATGGTTGCACGTTAATTACTGTTTGCTGCACTGGCTGCAAAAATGTGACGTATCACTTGCATACAATTTGTAGAAATGCTACGCAGTTGTCACGTGGGGCAATTCGATGCGTCGCGCATCGTACGGATCGGCGGTACAGGCCTCCACGCGTGGCCACACCGCCTTGTCTCGTGGAGACCCGCTGCTCGGGGTTGTATGCCGAGCTTCCTGGTGTACAGCGCAGAGGGCGAGCGAGCCCGGCCAGTGCGGTGGAGGCTGGGGGAGCCGAGACGCAAGGCGGCCACCTGCCTCTGTAGAGCACGAGGTTACGACCCGGTCTGATCGAGCGGTGCCGGGGCTGTGGCGCTCAACGAAACGTCGCTCTCCTCCCTCGTAATCCCCGGGGGTTCCGCCCCCTGTCTCTCCCGCCAGACAAAATAGCCCTTGGTCAGAAGGGAACGAGCCCGGGAAAGGCGGGGGGGGGGGCAAGGAGAGTGTGCAACAATTTGCAAAGGGCAAAATGTGCAATTATTGGATGCTGCAGAGCTTTCGCGAAAGGTCTTGGGTGCTCGGGACGTGCAGGGTGTGGAGATAAAGTCGCCGGTTGTTTCACTGGAACATAACTCCTAGATACAAATATTTGAGAGAGAGGGAAAAAAACACAAAAAAACAAGTTTTGATATACTTCGTTGTTGCTGGTTCATAAACAGAAATGACAAAACCCCCAACAAATTTGTCAATAGCATTGCCCTAAAAGGTTTTTTGTTTAAGAAGTGGCGATGCTGCCAATGGTCCTTATTAGCAGAGAAGGGCCATAGCCCCAAAATGTGGATTTTTTAAATATAAATATATTTCATAAATGTATAAGTATATTTTTATTTTTAAGGATGAATTGTGGGTTTTTGCTCGAGAGAAGAATATTTATCTCAACGGTAAATTTATGATATATTTCTAACACTCTAGGTTATGACTTAAACACATCTTAATTCTCCAGTAATTAGTCCAAAGGTGCTTACGTAGATGAGCACGTGAGATGTGATTGGGAATTGTGGTAAATATATGAAAATAAAAATGGACTTGTGTGGTCTTGAATAGCACAAATGAGAAACTTTCAAGTGAAGAATGCACCATTGCATACATATAAAAATGCCATATGCGATAGACCCGGCAGTTTGAGGCAATTGATATCAACATAACATTATGGACACCTGTATGTAATGCATTTATATACTTTAGGTGAGGTATTATCTTACGTTGCGCACGACATATTCGCTCAGCTCGTGCCCCTGTTGCCATCTCGTGCAGGCACTCTCCAGTCTACACAGATCTCCTGTGATCTGCGGCAGTGTGGCCCACCAATATCACGATCCTGTTAGTGGCGGGGTGAACTCCAAATTGACTCCACTCATCCATGGGAAAGGTCTGTGGATAATCACGGATCATAGCAAGAATAGTGCCACGGGTGACGGGTTTTTTCATGGACCATCTAGTACTAGGTAATAGGGTCGTGGATAAGAGACTTTCTCTCGTTTGTGTAAAACTTCAAAGGAATTTCCACTAAACCCCAAAGAGGGTGCTCGCAGTGTTTGTAGCTGCTTATCCCAGAGTCGCTGAACCACAGTAGCACCGTGCAGGATTACCTTGTTGGTGCAGGAGTGCCACGCAAACTTGGACAATGGCCATTCTTCTGCGCCCTTGTTAGCGAGGGCTGCCCATTAAGCAGAGCCTCTCACCCTCCACGCCTGAGTGGCAGCCCGAGTGGACATCGCACGGGGAGAGAGAGACGGGGGCACTTTCCCCTCGTGCAGGAGGAAGGCCCCTGAGTGGGGGCCCTGGGGGTGGCTGACTGTGGTTGTCAGAGACTGGTCTGACCAGTGTTTGATGGGGCACATAAATCTGTATACGTACCATCTGTCCCTGCAACCACATACCAAGATGTGGGATGTCACCTGGTGGGTCTAATTACTAAGACATGTATTAATTCGCCCGACACAGATTTGGTGGCTTGGGAATTGATCCTCGTGCACAAATAGGTGCGTCTAACGTGAGCATCAAAGTATACTTTAATGAATCAGTGCACAGTTACAAAGCTAATTATCATTTTGGAAAAAGCCGAGAGTCCTTTCGCAAATTTTGTGGAAAAAATACTTTGTATAGCAGATAATTTACTTTTCAGATAATTTATTGGGTCAAATTGAGAAGTCAGATCTTTTATTGGGTCAAATTAAGTCAAAATTCAAATTGAGAAGTGAACCAAAACACGCTCGCACTCTTCGTGGCAGGGACTCTAACAAATGCTCTGTAACGTTGTGAATTGCACCAATGCTCTTTGTTTTTTATCTTCATGACCAACATTTGTAATAGTAAATATTGTAATTTATACACAGTTACTATATGCGTCAATAAAACATGTCAGTGGTTGGTTAATGTTGAATCAATTCGCCAATGGGCCTTCTAGATTTGTATTTGGGAACCTATGTAAGGTTGTGTCTTCACTGAGTATCATTACTAAAGTGTGGCCTGTTAAACTAACACAACTTGTGTCATGGGCAAGAGCCTGATGTAGTCATTTTGACGGTTTACAATGTACCATAGCGTGCAAGTTTGTATATTTGCAGATGCTAAAGTGCTCCATTTAGGGCGTAACATCTTAAGCAGACACACACTCTCTTGTATGTGCGCAAGTCTGCTCTTGGACATGAGCCGGTGCGGAGTCTGGTGGCAAACCCAGAGTGAAAAAATTCTGTATAGCCAACAAAAGATAACATTTGTGATAACCGCTGTATGAACATTTTCGCAAGGGTTATTTTCCAATTCTATGTCATGTCGAGTAATATACCTTCTGAAAAGACACGACCTAGTTTTACCACTTCGCGTGCTACTGAAAAGTGAAATATATGTTATGTAGCCACGGAATAAATCCAGTTGTACTTGCAAAGTGTAAAAGACAAACGGTAAACATCTCCACCTTTGCTCGCTCTGCCCTTCCCTAACAGCAACACACCTGCTCACCTGTGGGGTTGACACCTGATTTTGCATACGCGTGTACAAGTGACTGTGCTATGCCAGCCTTTATAGGTGCTCGCGAACAGAAGGATGTTACACGCTATATGGGGGGGGGGTCTTTTTCTTGTGCGTCTGTGCAGACTTGATCAATTATCCTCCAAAGCTGGGAAAACCCGATTCTTTTGCCCGACAAATCGGGTTATTGGTTTTAATGGAATTAAACCCGAGTTTGCCGATTAAAACCTGGTTTTATTATCGGCGTCTCGTGCACACTTCAATCCTGCTCCTCGTCGTCGTCGTCGTCCGCCGCGTCGTCTTCGTCGTCGCTCTCGCCGCTGGACTCGGTGTTGTCGTGGCCGTCGCCGGGCGCCGGGTAGTCGTGGAACGCGTTGAGGTTCGACTTAATGAAGACGAGCTTCTCGACTGTGTCGGGCGCCAGGCTGTTCCTCAACTTGGAATGGATCAATCCCATCGTCGAGAAGAAGTTTCGCTCAGACGCAGCAGCAGCGGCGGTCCACGTGGCCATGCCGAACGCACCACGTGACTCACGCGCAAGGACGACCGAGCCCGGGCCCGAACCCCGCTAACGGGAGCCTGCGACTGAAATCCCGACTTGACTTTAATAAAACCGAATAAAACCGGTTTTGGGCAGGATCCAGGTGCTCCGGTTTTATATAAAACCCGATTAAAACCCAAATGTATAAAACCGGGCCGTGCCAGCCTTGAAACGGAAGACTCGGAGAGCATTGAAGAGAGAGAGCGACTGCAGTGAGATTGAGAAATCCTGGATGACCCGCGTCTGTCATGAAACACAACCATGAAGCCATCCACAACATCGCCAGCTCTGCCTCGTCCCGCCTTAACACCAAAACAACAACCGCCGCCGTTCGCCACTAAGTGGCGGTGACATCACTACGGCGCTTGTGCCAGTCTAGGTTCACTTTGAGGCCACGTGACGTGTCGAATGCCAGCTGGCAGGAGGTCACGAAGCTGATCCAGGTGCCATGGGTTGACTGACTGAGGTGCCTGGCAAATGCACCGACTGTGCTCCCCACTGTGCCAACTCTCTGCGTTTTATCAGCCCGGCGTTCCGCTCGTTGTTGTGAGCGTGGCTCCTCAGCCCTCCGCTGTTGCTGGAGGGCGACTGCCTCCAGATATTGTTTGATTTGTCTCCATTTCCCGGGCAGCATCCTTCACGAACCTCCTCCACAAAGGCCGACCTTAGTGCTGCTGCCGGTCATTGGCAAGTCCACTCAGCTCCACGTCATTCTGTATCGCACCAGTCCTGCAGGTGTAGCCGCCTGTAACAGAGAACGGGAGAGAGAAACGGTGTGAAGACTAAAATATAGAGCGTGTTCGTATCTGCGCCGAACTCTTTCTGGCACCTCTTGCACTCACGTTCACATCTGCTGTTTTATTGTTCTTGTGGGTTTCGTTTACGACCGTTAAATATATCGTTTGTTAGTTGTGAAGTATTCCTTGAGAACTCCGTACTCGTTCTCTGCAATATTGATGTTTGCATTGTATTTGTGTTGCTACTGCTGCTGCGTCCACGCACCACGGATCCCCCTTGTAAAAGAGGCCGGGTTGGCAACGGGCTGGACGGGATCATCCGTGGAGACGAATCAAAATAAAGTCGAACGAAAGAGAGGCGCTGTGTGGGCGCTGTCTGCTCGCGCCTTCCTCCTCTAAGAGTGGTGAGCACCTGACGTGAGTCACTGGGGTGGGTGGAAGGGTTAGTGGTGGGTGGGTGAGTGGACTGGTGAGTGGAAGGGTGAGTGGGTGAGTGGAAAGGTGAGTGGGTCAGTGGACGGGTGGGTGGACGAGTGAGTGGGTGGGTGAGTGGGGGGTGGACGAGTGAGTGGGTGGGTGGACGAGTGAGTGGGTGAGTGGACGGGCGAGTGGGTGGTGGACGAGTGAGTGGGTGAGTGGACGGGCGAGTGGGTGGGTGAGTGGGTGGGTGGACGAGTGAGTGGGTGAGTGGACGGGCGAGTGGGTGAGTGGGTGGGTGGGCGAGTGGGTGGGTGGACGAGTGAGTGGGTGGGTGGACGAGTGAGTGGGTGGGTGGACGAGTGAGTGGGTGAGTGGGTGGGTGAGTGGGTGGGTGGACGAGTGAGTGGGTGGGTGGACGAGTGAGTGGGTGAGTAGGTGGGTGAGTGGGTGGGTGGACGAGTGAGTGGGTGAGTGGACGGGCGAGTGGGTGAGTGGGTGGGTGGGTGAGTGGGTGGGTGGACGAGTGAGTGGGTGAGTGGACGGGCGAGTGGGTGAGTGGGTGGGTGGGTGAGTGGGTGGGTGGACGAGTGAGTGGGTGGGTGGACGAGTGAGTGGGTGGGTGGACGAGTGAGTGGGTGAGTGGGTGGGTGGACGAGTGAGTGGGTGAGTGGACGGGCGAGTGGGTGGGTGGGTGGGTGAGTGGGTGGGTGAGTGGGTGAGTGGAAGGGTGAGTGGGTGAGTGGAAGGGTGAGTGGGTGAGTGGACGGGTGAATGGGTGAGTGGACGGGTGAGTGGGTCAGTGGACTGGTGAGTGGAAGGATGAGTGGGTGAGTGGACGGGTGAGTGGGTCAGTGGACGGGTGGGTGGACGGGTGAGTGGGTGGGTGGACGAGTGAGTGGGTGAGTGTACGGGCGAGTGGGTGGGTGGACGGGTGAGTGGACGAGTGAGTGGGTGGGTGAGTGGGTGGGTGGATGAGTGAGTGGGTGAGTGGACGGGTGAGTGGGTGGGTGGACGAGTGAGTCTGTGAGTGCGTGGGTGGATGGGGAAAAACAACGCAAGAGCAGGCGAGGCGGGCGGTGCGGGTGACCGGGCGAGAGAGCGAGGGAGGGGAGGTGGGAGGGAGGCGCTGTCGCACCGCTCTGGCTGAGCCCCACACACGCGCACGGACACTCACGCACAGTTCAGCGGTCTCGCGGGCTTCACTGCGTGCGGTGGAGGTGGGGGGGTGGACTTTTTTCGAGTCTTGTCAACTCTCCTCTCCAATATAAACGGGCAGCCGAGTGAGTGCGTGTAAGCTGCTTACGGGGAGTTGGCTTCGTCACCCACGCAGGATTGCATTTCATACTCGTCTACAGTACTTTGAAGGTTGTGTAAACAACAATAACTTTGACGAGCTCACTGCGAGGCTGGCTGGCGTGTTGAAGACATCTCTGGGCACAATGACCCCTCTACCACTCCTGCTGCTGGGCTGTATTTGCTTCTGGACACTGCCGACCAGTGGACAGCACCAAAGCATAAGCAGGTATGGGCACGACTCGCTTGGTGCGATACCAGAGGCAAAGATCCCCCGTTTCGCCTCTTCACAGACTGCAGGTGCCGTTTGCGAGCGCCTATGAAGGCCGGCACGGCACACGAGGGGCTGGTGGTAGAAACAACACCACGCCCGGCCGCCTTTGTCTCCCCAGTGATGATGTTTACACATCGCACCAGGTACTCACTTGAGGCTGAGTTGACCTAGGGGAGGCTACACGCATACTCGCAGACGTACGCGCATTCACCACGTGCTGTAGCACACCGCGTGAAAGTTATGCATAACGTATACAAAGACAGAGATCCCCCGTATAGCCTTGACAGATTTTGGGGCAAGTGCCGTTTTGCGAGCACCTCTGAAGGCCGTCACTTTTCAGTGTTTTTCTTTTCTTTTGCCGAATCAACGGAAGCACGAAGTTCGTGCGTGGGACAGCCGCGCACACAAATACACCCAGCGCAGGAGCGTGGCTACAAACAGAACCCTTCCCTCTCTGTGTTGTACCCGTCCGTGTCTTCTTGTCATCAGCAGCAGCCGCATGGATTGTGTTGGATGCAGGGACGCGTGCGCTCGCGTGACGAATGCACCAGTTCCACTTTCGAACTTTAGTCACTTTCGCAGCTAAGCTATGCAAACTATGCTAAGCTACAGCACTTGTTTTTATTTTACCAGGTAATCACCACTGAGCTGTGTAGCGCTTTTCCAGAAGCGACCTGGTCACAAATGATCGCTGAACGTGGCGGCTGATCACGTGGAGGTTTATATATCAGCCAAATACTCCAAACGCGTGATGTCCATTCTAAATGTGGAGGGGAAAACTGGAGGACGCAGAGAGAGAGAGAGACCCAAACTCCAAATATACAGCAGCAGCAGGCGTCAGGGTCGGGATCGAACCCACGACCTCCTGCATACCAGGCGAGGTAGTTAACATCTCATAGCCACCGTGATAATGATGAGAGAGACACGAAAACTCCAAATATACAGCAGCAGCAGCAGGCGTCAGGGTCGGGATCGAAGCCACGACCTCCTGCATACCAGGCGAGGTAGTTAACATCTCATAGCCACCGTGATAATGATGAGAGAGACACGAAAACTCCAAATATACAGCAGCAGCAGGCGTCATGGTCGGGATCTAACCCACGACCTCCTGCATACCAGGCGAGGTAGTTAACATCTCCTAGCCACCGTGATAATGATGAGAGAGAGACACGCAAACTCCAAACATACAGCAGCAGCAGGCGTCATGGTCGGGATCTAACCCACGACCTCCTGCATACCAGGCGAGGTAGTTAACATCTCCTAGCCACCGTGATAATGATGAGAGAGAGACACGCAAACTCCAAACATACAGCAGCAGCAGGCGTCATGGTCGGGATCGAACCCACGACCTCCTGAATACCAGGCAAGGTAGTTAACATCTCCTAGCCAGCGTGGCGAGATGTTAACTCCGATGTTCATGATTAGCAAGCGAACTGCTAACAGGGTTATGAAAATGTGGTTTAAACATGCCCAGTAAAACTCGTGTATTGAAGAATGTTATACGTGATGGGCAATTTTGTTTTGAAACGAGATATTGTTTGATTTGGCATACGAATACTGTATATCACCTCGAATGCACCCAATCTCGTAAGATCTCAAGTCCAGCAGTGTGAGCCTGGTAAGTAATTGCACTTTGATAGGAGCTAGACTGCTTGGCAATGCCCCGATGTTGTTGGCTTGGCTGTGAGTTGACCGTAAAAAGGTAGTATAGCAACGAATTATTGTATCTATCTGTGTGGAGTGTGTACATGGGCTTTCTCAGGGCACCCTGGTTACCTCCGTATACCAAACGTGGATGCGATTGCCCAAACATTCCACCGCAGGACCGTCTTGAATGAGTCTTGAGACTCTTTAACGATAATTTTACTTCAGCGCTTCTGTTTTATTTCAGCCAAAACTACCATTTGGATTCGCTAGTCGGTACAGTGGACTGTTTCATTGATATTACTATTATCAGCACATATGATAGAGTATATTATACACATCCGACCGTGGCCTACTTTATGTGAATAGTATTTAGGTGTATAAAATTGAATAGTATATTATATTATTAAACAGCAATGCATTTGTATGTTGAACTTTTTTCGCAAAGTACGTAGCCAACCGTGCTAACCGGGGCTGCGGGGAATGCAGTAATAATAATTACAAGCTCAGAAATTGCATGATCTATTCGGCACAGCGCAGGCACATCTACTTGTGACAATGATATTGTGGTGCATCAGGTGGGCAGGTCCAGGAGTGCGTCTCACCCACGAGCTGCTTAGCACACAGCTGCTGTACACAGGCCACGTCAAATGAGATAATCAAAGTTGCAGTAGATTAAAGTTATAACGCGTACAGTATTTGTTTTGTTTTGATACGTGAGCAAGACCGTTATAAGAGTTTTGGGGAAAAACAGAGAAGCCTTTTGACCCTCAGTGTGGTGAGTGTGTTCGAGTAGGTGAGTGTAAGTGTGTTGTGACCCTTATTGTGGTGAGTGGGTGAGTGTGAGTGTGTTGTGACCCTCATTGTGGTGAGTGTGTGAGTGTGTTGTGACCCTCATTGTGGTGAGTGTGTTCGAGTAGGTGAGTGTGAGAGTGTTGTGACCCTCATTGTGGTGAGTGTGAGAGTGTTGTGACCCTCATTGTGGTGAGTGTGAGTGTGTTGTGACCCTCAGTGTGGTGAGTGTGAGTGTAAGTGTGTTGTGACCCTCATTGTGGTGAGTGGGTGAGTGTGTTGTGACCCTCATTGTGGTGAGTGTGAGAGTGTTGTGACCCTCATTGTGGTGAGTGTGAGTGTGTGTTGTGCCCCTCATTGTGGTGAGTGTGAGTGTTTTGTGACCCTCAGTGTGGTGAGTGGGTGAGTGTGAGTGTGTTGTGACCCTCAGTGTGGTGAGTGGGTGAGTGTGTGTTGTGACCCTCATTGTGGTAAGTGGGTGAGTGTGAGTGTGTTGTGACCCTCATTGTGGTGAGTGGATGAGTGTGAGTGTGTTGTGACCCTCATTGTGGTGAGTGGGTGAGTGTGTTGTGACCCTCATTGTGGTAAGTGGGTGAGTGTGAGTGTGTTGTGACCCTCATTGTGGTGAGTGGGTGAGTGTGAATGTGTTGTGACCCTCATTGTGGTGAGTGGGTGAGTGTGTTGTGACCCTCATTGTGGTGAGTGGATGAGTGTGAGTGTGTTGTGACCCTCATTGTGGTGAGTGGGTGAGTGTGTGTTGTGACCCTCATTGTGGTAAGTGGGTGAGTGTGAGTGTGTTGTGACCTGCAGCGTGATGCTTGAACACACTGTGGATGAGATGAAACAGCGAGTTCGACAGACCGAGTCCTCTAAACAGGAGTAGTGATCACTGGGTGTAGTGAACACGAACGGTAACCATGTTAGTAGCGATAGCAGAGCGACAAGGAGGCGACTGGCCACCGGTGAGCGACTGGGCTCTCATCAGCGAGTGCTGGACCATCATAGGCCTGGCTGCTCAGTCTGAAATCTGTCAAGGACATCGCAGGCGACTCCTTCTGCCTAAGACGCTGCCAGCGCATTAATGAACGTGCCCCCACCCCCCCGTGCCTTCCACTGTTTGACGATAGACTCCCCCCTCCGCTGTGCCTGTCCAGGGGGAATGCTTTGACCACACTTCACTGCACAGCGCAAAGTGAGGGATGGTGAAGGAGGCATCCGTGGCCGCTTCAGAGATCACTCGCCACTGATGTTAGCCGTGACCGAAAATCCAACTGAGATGGGGCGGGTTCGTAGTGTTGTGCACGAACCTCTGTGCCACCGTTACACCGCCTATTCAAGCCCCCGATTCACTAGGACTGTACATTTGTCCTCGCAGAAGTCCATGCATTCGACCTTGTTAGCCGCTGCGTGTTTCCCGAGTGTTTTGAAGTGTTTTGTAAATGCCCAGTGACGTTGTTATTGCTCATGTCTGCTCTTTAACAATTGTCCCATGCACCATCACGAAACAGCGTCACCATTATGAATCAATGAGCACGGAGCACAGATCATGCGGTGTGAGTCTGCGTGTTGTGACTTACAACACGCAGACTCTGCACTTTAACAACATTCTCAGACGTACGCGCCACCCAGACGTACGCACCACCCAGACGTACGACCATTCAGAGTTTCAAGGCTTGGGGCATGGCAACTTAGCAGGACAACGCGGTTGACAAGACACACTTCACAGATGCTGTACTAGTTAGCGAGACGTGTTCGTTTTTAACGCCATAAATTGTTCATGAAAATCAAGCGAACGGGTGTTGCGTAGGAGATTAACTCTATCAATATAAAACCACATCCTTTAACATTCTTTGCAGGCGCATAATCTGCATTTTACAGGTTTTGAGAAGTGGAAACTATTGCACACAAGAGGATTTGTATAAACTGGTTTAAACAGATTTGTTCACGTTTCTGTTCGGTCCAGTGCCTATCAACTTTATCGCCAAGTTCGCTGTTAACGAACGTGGGAACGTGGGAGTCACAGTTGCTGCCACGTTTTGATCCCATCATCATCATCAACATAATTGGCAATGGTCATCGTGATGTACATCCCAATAACATCATGGCATTCGCCCCGGTACATCGAATTAAGCCAATTACTCTTCAGTCAGCTGGAATAACCCCATACAGAAGCATGCCGTCCGTGTCTCGGTGTGTGTTAACTCTAGATGACTTAACTCTAGATTACCTAACTCTAGATAAACTAACTCTAGATAAACTAACTCTAGATAAACTAACTCTAGATAACCTAGCTCTAGATAACCTAACTCTAGATAAACTAACTCTAGATAAACTAACTCTAGATAAACTAACTCTAGATAAACTAACTCTAGATTACCTAACTCTAGATGACCTAGCTCTAGATAAACTAACTCTAGATAAACTAACTCTACATTACCTAACTCTAGATAAACTAGCTCTAGATAAACTAACTCTAGATAAACTAACTCTAGATAAACTAACTCTAGATAAACTAACTCTAGATAAACTAACTCTAGATTACCTAGCTCTAGATAAACTAACTCTAGATAAACTAACTCTAGATAAACTAACTCTAGATAAACTAACTCTAGATAAACTAACTCTACATTACCTAACTCTAGATAAACTAACTCTAGATAAACTAACTCTAGATAAACTAACTCTAGATAAACTAACTCTAGATAACTAACTCTAGATAAACTAACTCTAGATAAACTAACTCTAGATAAACTAACTCTAGATAAACTAACTCTACATTACCTAACTCTAGATAAACTAACTCTAGATAAACTAACTCTAGATAAACTAACTCTAGATAACCTAGCTCTAGATAAACTAACTCTAGATAAACTAACTCTAGATAAACTAACTCTAGATAAACTAACTCTAGATTACCTAGCTCTAGATAAACTAACTCTATATAAACTAACTCTAGATAAACTAACTCTAGATAAACTAACTCTAGATAAACTAACTCTAGATAAACTAACTCTAGATAAACTAACTCTAGATAACTAACTCTAGATAAACTAACTCTAGATAAACTAACTCTAGATGACCTAACTCTAGATAACCTATTTATTTTCACGCACGTTGACTGCGTTACGTCCGAGGGTCTGCCTGTATTTGATGTTAATAACACAATACGCTCATTTAAAATAAAGTAGAAAATAATTAGTTTACGTTGAATGTCAATGGCTTATTCGATATACAAGGCGCAGCCCTGCAATGGCTTGCTCAGGCCACTGCTGGCAGACGCCTTCCCTGCACTCGAGGTCGCTATGGATAGCCGCTTAGACAGGGTACGTGGCCTACTCTGCTACGCTGTTCGGATGTCTCTGAATATGTGCGATATTACCCACGCTTCACCCCACCACACGCGACCTGCGGTATTCACATTTCACTGCTGGGTGGACAGTGGCAGGTTGGGGGGGTGTGGTGGTGAAGACTCGCACCGTTCACTCAAACTGGCGCCCCTCTGGATCGCAGGGCCCGGTGTGGCATCCCACCCATACACAATTAACACCTCCGGTGGACCCCGTACGTGTGCCAAGTCGAAGTTCATCGTGCCGACAGTGCATACACGAACCTTTGTAAAACGTGAATAAGACACCTTCACCTAAATGGAGACAACTTTTGACTGAACCCAAAACAATTCCATTCCTATGTAGAACACCGACCGACGCACGCAGGGCTGGTTTGCACGATTCGCCTTGCACAGCTGATTATGAACGCACCATTAGCACGTGAATGGGAATGCAGATGAGGGCCCACAAAGGGAATGTGTTTGGGGATGACAAGGCTGCCGCCGTCGTTCGTCTAACGTACACAACGATGCGAGGCAGCGCTATTCTTAGTTTTTATAGCTCGCGACTCAGTCACTGGAGCACCGAGCAATCCCATCTTGGGACATAACGCATACACGTGGAAAGCGTATTCTGCCCGCGCGCAGCCGGTGATCTATTATAGCACGGTTCCTCACAGCTACAGCGCGGAAACCTTGTTTAAGAAAACTTCTTTTTAAATTTGCAAGCTGTGGACGCAGCCTTGCAGCGACCTCGGTGGAGCAGCCAGGGGCGGGGGGGGGGGCATTGCCCCATCCACAGACTGTGAACATTCACTATTTTATTGATATTTACCAAAGAAAACATTTTAATGTTTTTTAAAAATTAGAGTCGTGTTTATTTTTTGGGGAAATTTCCAGAACTGCCCCCCCCCCGCCGCCACCACCTTGGGAAGTTTCTGGATCAGCTTCTGATCCCAATGACCCATGGCTGGATTCCTGGCCATGCACCAATACCGTCTCGGCCTGGCCTATGCCTGCCCTGAATCGCCTCGGCTTTAATGAACGTGGTGCGGGGTCCGAGTGACCTGCTCCGCAGTCGCCAGGGCAGAGACAACAAAGCGCACTCCCGTGGCGTCCCGTAGCTCCAGTTCACGTTTTCCTGCCAAAGAATCCCACACGGACCTCCCAGTAGAACTGGTCTGGCGATAGCCCTGCACCCGCGGCTGCGTTGACATCACCGCCGCTTTGCTGTTGCTCTCATCAATGGATCGCCTGCTCATGTCACCCGCGATTACAAAACCCCGAGACAGATCGCCTCCATTAACCTGGACTGGATCTGCGGCACGCCTCTGGTTTTTACTCCACCTTTGGCTGTGCCTCACCGCAACCAAACATCTGCACCTCCAGCAGCGCGTGTCCAGCCAATAGGGGACGATGCGCGCGTGTGTGTCGTGTGACCAGGTACCGACAGTACCACCACCTGATCGTGGGGCCCCGTGCTCCATACGGGATCCCGGCAGGCATCCATCCCGGGGTGTGCCGCTTCGGCACGCGTCTCGACTGCTGCTACGGTTGGCACTGGACGGAGAGGGGCACCTGCCAGCGTGAGTGTGACGACGACGATGCCCTTGTACAGCACTGCACCCAAAGCAATGTTCAGGGGGAGATGGGACATTCAACTTCAACAGATGTTGTCTTCCATGCACCCTCAACAGTAACTCAAGAGCGACTGGCAGGGCTTAATATCTCCCTGAGTATTGTGTGGTAGAGTGGGGTGGACACGTGACGAGCAGCTACACAGGATGTGGTGAGGCAGTAGGCGGAAAGATTTCCCTGGTCACTGATCCGGACAGATCTGGCTGAAATTAAGCCCTGGATATTGGGACATAGCTCGTGGTGGGGGTCTCATCATCATCATCTTTATTACCTGTGGCCATGGTCTATCGTAGCTGGATGAATGCCCCCCCCCCCCCCCCCATGCCGTCACCATCCCAAACAGTCCCGCGATGCCACAATCCACAATCCGTCATCTCCACGTCAGCTGATGTCGTCGCTCCGTCTCCGTGGCGGTCGAACTCTCTCCGTGGCATTCTTTCCCTTGACCGACGTTCTGTCACCACTCTTGTCCATCGACCGTCCTCCCTTCTAGCGATGTGTCCTGTCCAACCGATTGTAAATAAAAGTATCTGTTGCAAACACTTTGGCCAGTGCTGAAGAATGGGGATAAGTGTGCTGCGTTGACGCCAGCGCTGTGCCCCAAGCAATCATTATAATAGACAACATACCACACGCGATCCACTCTGCAGGTGTGGAACTTCTGTGTAAGGCCATATTCTCTGGAATATCAGACTCTCAGGAGAGTAAAACCCACCCAAAACTTTTGGCTGGTGCCAATAAAGTCGTGCAAATCTGGTCACACACACACACACCGATGGCAGTAAGTCATGCCCACAACTTTTGCTTCAAATTACGGGGGGGGGGGGGGGAATGCATCCTACACTCTGGAGAATGCGGTAATACTGTACATAGTGGGGTTCATAGGATTCCTTGAAAGCCACTGTACCGTGGTGTGTGTGACTCGGGGTGTTTTTTTTCTCTAATAGTGCATCGTATTCTGGTTCCCGTGTTAGGTCTTTTTGTGGTTTGACGGTTGGATTGGGCAGCCTAAACCTTCAAAACTGAGAACAGTCACATCCTCCTGGGCGTAATGCAGGGCAGTGAAAACAAGTTCGACCGTACAGGATCAGTAATTTTTGAAGGGGCAGTCACACCCATACACACACAGAGAGACACACACACAGACCAAGTACAAATACACACGCACAAAGAACTTCTGCTTAGCTCTGTTGGACCTCAATAAAGTGCCACTTAGAATAGGGGTTAAGCATTGATAGGGCATCTTAAACAATCACACGTTTAATTACAACATACACAGGCCAATAGAAAACACACTGTAGAATGATTATATTATAAGGTACGTTGTGTTTTGATAAACAATATCCAAATGCAGTGCTGTGGTATGTAGAGTCTGAATAATCGATGTACGGCCCTGTTCAGTCCACTGCTTGGTCGAGGCCTTGCCTCACTGTTTCAGTCATGTTTCTTATTCGACCATAATTCACCACGATGCTCAGTGCGCATCGGCGAAGAGGTGGACATATTTCTTTCTCGTGCAGAGAAAGTATCACAATAAGAGGGCCACTGTTGATTCCGACTAAGTGGTGCACAATTTATCGGCCCTGATAGGATGATGGGATGAGTGCACCCCAAGAACATAAAACATAACTGTGGTAGCGTAGTGGGTCGCACACTGCGCTACGATTCGGGCGACCTGGATTTGTTCCTTTGCCACGGCTGACATCAGTGGCAAGTGATATCTAAACCAGTCCTTTCACCAATCCACAGTGACCAGTGCGGTGAAGTATGGGAAAACAAGACCCATGACCAACACAGCATCGGAAAGCCTTCATCCAACAGTGGATTGCTAAAGGGCTGCATGTTTTAATCATATTTCAGATTGTATAGAATATTGTATATGTTGACTGTACTCTCCAGTAATTGTCTGAAACCATACGGATGTATGTTGAACTTCTTTTGCACCGTACGTAGCTAATCGGAGGTGCCGCGGTGGAAAGGGCAATGGCTATAAACATTACTAGCGATGGTTACCACTGCATGCTCGACTAAAAGAGAAAACACTGCGGTGACTTTCACATTGCAGTTCTCTTCACATGATTATTGTAAACACAACCTCTCCTATTAATAGTAACGCCATACTTATACTTTGCATCCCTTTACAACACAGAACATGAAAATAACGTGAGTTTTGTGTGTCTTGGTTTATACTGTAGTATTGTCCGCTTACATAACTGGTTAAGTGATGCAGAAAAAAAAGCTTTAAAAAAAATAATGTGTTTAAGCAGCTGTCAGATTCTTAAAATACCGGTTCGCTTTGTTGTATATCTCGTCTTCACGACTGCTTGACAGATCAGAAGGTGAATCGATTTTACCTGTCAAGTTTGCTGGGGATGTTATCAATGCCAGGCGTACATCAGAGCCTGCATACACCGCCCTGCTGTGTTTGCCTGTGCGCACTATTTATTCTGAATTTCAAAATGTTTTTTTTTTGTTTAAACATACTACCGGTGATCCCTTATCGAGTGTATTTGCCACAAGCTCTGTACGTAATCAGTAAACCCCATTTCAGTTTTCCGTTGACACAGTTGTAAGTTGTAAAACGCCATTCATGCGACTCTTCTCGTCGTGGTCACATGACAGAGTGGTTCGAAGGCTTGCCAGTTGGGGAGTGAATCGCAAATGTTTGGCGGAATGAACCCTAATTTTACGCTTGCATATATTTTCCCAGGAAAATTTATCTGACATTTTAATTATCTCATCCAGGAATGGCGTACGTAGAATGGTTAATCCATTCCTCGTATGCATGCATGGGCGAACAAAAGTGCCCATCGGAAAGCCGAGCTTGCGAAGGAAGCTCGAGCTGACAAGAGCTGCTGTGTACATCGCCTGCCCAGTCACGCAGCAGGTCATTGTCACAAGACGCTCTCCACAACTTGAACATGATGAAACCTACGAGATCTCTCGCTGCAAAGGAAAAACAAAACGTGTTTTGAATTCTCTTCCACGTTTTCGCAAGCTCCGATTTTAGGAGTGGCACACTAGCGCCTAAACAACCTCGCTCTACCGCTTGCCTGGGAACGTATTGCACTGCCAACTTTCCAGCCATCACCTTTTTTTTAATTCATTCGAAACAATCGCCCTTGCCTTGTGTTGAGTCGCACTCCGGCCACGCTGGACGGACGCGCCACGTCGCCGGAGTCGAAGCCGTCGTTAAAAAATCCGTCTGCTTACTTCACGGTACGAAGCAAAGCCATTTAGCGATACACTCGCTTCTTTGTCGGCAGTTCTAATCTGCGTTGTCATCACTTTTTGATATTTTTTTGTGAAAGAAAGACACCTGAAAAAATTATAATTCGTCCCGTTCTCACGGCCAAACACAATATGCCTTTTTTTTAATTTATGCTGCAGGAATTTATTTCGCTTCGTGCTGGACACGACGCTCTCTACGTGGCACGGACAATTTCCGCTGTTAAGACGATTGAAGCTTCTTTTTGTTGTCGAGTATCCCTGCTGCCATGGCAAAGGGCTCTGCTTAAGCTGCGTAAGATCATTGCTTTCATTTTGGTACGTGCAACAGGGGACCTTTTGGGCTTTAAAAAAAAAAACCTGTGGCTAATTCTTCAAGGTAATGGTGGGTGTAATGGGGCCATTGGCAGGACCAAGGATAGCATTCAGGAATGCTCACAAAGCGCCTGTGTTTTTATCCAGGTTGAGTTGAGGGGAGACAAACAGAATCAGCGCTAATCCAGTAGCCCAGATTGTAAGTGGCCTTGCGTGCGTGTGTGTACGTGCATGTGTGTACGTCTTTGTGTGGGTGTACGTGTGTGCGTGTGTTTGCATGTGTGTACGTCTTTGTGTGGGTGTACGTGTGTGTGCGTGCGTGTGTGTACGTGCGTGTTTGTACGTGCGTGTGTGTACGTGTGTGCGTGCATGTGTGTACGTCTATGTGTGTGTACGTGTGTGTGTGTGCGCCTGTTGTACATACTTTAGTGCACACACTTTGTGATTATGCACGATTATGTCTCCGTAATTAATGCAAATAGATCATTGTGACCGACTTAGTGAGTAACTGATGTTTATTATCATGCCGTAGAAGGGACGGAAAATCATTTTATAACTTTAGGCCAACCATTCCACTTTGAGTAAAACCTGCAGGCCATTTTTTGTGCGGACCAAATAAACCCCCCGTATATTCTAGTAGATAAATATATGTGTGTATATGTGTGTGTGTGTGACTATTCGTGTCATATCCCAGCTTAGGTCTCATGATGAAACTGAAAACTATATTATCCCAATCGTCAGTGAATCAACAAATGTTCCGCCTGCAGCATGTAACATTAAAGCCGATAGAAAACACGTGCAGACCGCTATCTGTTACTATTCTATATATATAGAGAGTGAGGCTGCAAAGATTATACCGTAGAGTGTTAGCCATTGAGCCAGTGTGCTTGGAGTCAAGTATTCAATGCTCACAGCCACCTGGTGATTCCAGTGGGGAATGACCATAGCATGCACTTCGATCAAGTGGACATTAGTTCATAGCTGGGAGGCCGACATCCCAAAGTGAGCCGACGATTTGGAGACATCTGTTGGGCCCCCTCACACCCATCCGGAGGTGTCTGCTGCCCGTTCCGCTCATACCGGACTCTGGTTCCCACTCACGCTGATGGCGTTACATCAGTGTCGCGCTCCCAACAACGCCCGCGGACATTGTAACAACGCTCACCCCGTAACCCTAGCCCAGGGCTTCCCAAACACCCACACCTCAAACGCCTCCCCCACCTCAGTCCAGCGGTCTATTTCTGCTTTTAAAGTTTGAGCACAAGCATGTGCAATGCGCGCGCGCGTGTGTGTGTGCGTGTGTATAGTGTGTACATTAGTAACGTGCTCGAAGATATATTTGTAATTTGCGGATAAGGATCAAAGGGATGCGTTGGTACATTTTGTCCATACTCTGCGTTGAAAC